GGGAAAGAGGAACTATAAATGAAGGAAAAAGGGGGAAAAATTAAGAACGATTCTCCATTATTTCTTAAATTGCTGGAATTTTTACAGTATGATTGTAATGGCATAGTATTTTTATTCTGTTTTCTATTTTTTTTAATTATCCATAATGTGGAATCATAGGGCTACAACACAGTATAACAAGGTTTAAAAGGGGTGTGCAACCCGAAAGAAAGTTGAGAATCAGTGCTCTTGGGCTACTGTAGCTACCTTGGTTTAGAGCTTAATAATAAGGACAGTTCAACCCCAAAAGTATCTAAAGTTTAACAAAAAACTTTCTATGTTATTAAGATTCCTTGTGCAGACACAAAACGTACAATGAATTGTAAAGGAAGACAACAAGATACAGGTCTACAATGTAGCCATAATCCCCACTTTCCTTTACAGATGCGAAATTTGGGTGACCTACTGTCAGCATCTCAAGGAGCCCAAAGAGGTATCACTAACAATGCCTCCACATTAAGTGGGAAGATTACCACACACGCGCCAGCATTCTTGCTAAAGCCAACTTTACCAAAATTGAGTCCGTGACCTCAAGCACCAACTTTGTTGGATCAAACTTTTTGTGTAGGTCAAATCTGAAAACAAGTGTTCAACTCCCAGGTTAGCTGTGGGCTGAGAGCTTGTGACAGCCAGAAGAAACACTACAAGGACACATTGAAGGCATACCTCAAGAAAATGGGTTCCACTATTAAGAGCTGGGAGGAGCTGGCTGCTAATTAACTCCAATGGCACTAGAACTTCAACCAAGCAGCAGCCTATTCCAAGGAAAAGTGCCTTGCCCTCGAAGCAGAGAAGAGTGTGGAGGAAGGAAAAGGAGAGGGATCCCAGCCTAAAGCTTACTCTCTCCTGCAGAAAGACCTGCAATTTCTGCAGATGGATCTGTGGCTCAAGGATTGGACTCTTAAGTCAACTCAAGACCCATCAATGTGCCATGCTAGAGATCATACTCGATTGCTGACGACACCAACTACGGCTTGTAGAGTACAGGTTTCAATACCTAATTTTTCCTAATCAATTTGTGGAATTTCCAGCTGCTCTGGGCCTAGGATGTCAAAACAATTTGACATTGAATTAGGGATGCTCCCAATGAGACATTCAAAGGGATACATACCACCATTAAGGAAGGAGCTCATTCATGGGCTGGGCCACAAATTTCTAATTTAAATCTAGGCTTGCCTCAAGTGCAAGGAGAGTTACCTGAGGGACTGCTAAAGCAACCAAACCATGTTTGCCATTTCATAGCTTATTCTCCTTTAACAGTGACAAAGAAAGAAACAACAAAGGAAAGGGGACAACGAAGACTCACCAGAGTGCGTCCTGAGGTGTCCTGTGAGGGCATCCCTTCTGCGGCAGGCATAGCTGCAGAAGGGACATTTGAAAGGTTTCTCCCCAGAGTGTAACTTGATATGCCTCAGCAGGTTCCCCTTCTGTGTAAAAGAAGCTCCACACTGGTTACAGTGGAAGGGGCGCTCACCTAAAGTAGAAAATACAGTGGTCAGAACTGTCAAGAAATCAGCTACAACATTTATAGACCTAACATCCCATTGCTTGTAACAATATGTAGCGTGGCCCGATCTAAGTCAACTTTATCATTTGGTTTAAATTTGATGCAACTCATTCTACAATGTAAATTACTCTACTCAAACAATTGTAAAACCGATTATGCTAATGTTAGAGGCTATAAATTACATAGCATCCTGGGTAAAGATTAGCACACAGATTTGGAGTGCTTCTGTTTTTAGGCACCCAACATGAGATGTTTTAAACAGGAGTGCCTGGTTTTTCAATGCAGTGGGTGTTCACTATCTTTTAGGTGCTTCAACTAGATACTTTGGAAAAATACAGGCCCAATACTGTGGCTTTGTGCTATTACCCCTATGGCCCTACAACAATCTTGGTTATAGGTCCATCTTTAAAGCGTGTCTGGTACCAGCCAAAAAAAACTACTCTGGACAGATATCAAGGCCTCAGCCTTAAAATGTCCATTTCTTTCTTTATATTTTATTTTAAATCCCTCTAAGGTCTTTTTTACGCTTGCAGAATGGTTTCAGGGGGGAAATAATTGTAAATCAAAATCAAGCCCAAATCCACAAGTTTGACACACAATTTTCATTAATACCAATGTTGATTCTTAAAAACCTTCATATTTTCCTTCCCACACTTCACTTCCAGCAACTTTTTGCAGCCCTTCATGTATACATCTGTCAAAGCAAAGGCTTCATCGCTCAAAGTCTATTCCAGACCTACATTTCTATGATTCTTTGAGGGTATGAATAGATTATTAGATACCATCTGATAATTTACATTAGTGTTATAGT